CCACGGAAATTGTAAGAAAAACTTGGAAATTTTTATTGAAACTTTGCAAGATGTTTATTTAGTCAATTATCTATTAGTTTATCACAAAAAATTGGAAGGAAATGCATTGCATGATAGATATAACTGATTTAAGTTGATTAAATAGCGAGCTGGCAAACATTGTGAGTGTAGAAAATATGTAGTAATTAATGAAAGAAGTTTAAACACACCATAATCGTATTGTATGAACATAAAAAACACACAAAATTTAATTAACCTAATCATTCAAATTCTTTACTGATTTTTATCTAAATCTCAATGATGCACACTGAAACTTCTGAAAAACCATTATATGAAAGAAGAGCGCTCGAAAGGAGAATGAGTGTTATAGAACCGTTGTTGGAGGAACCAAAAAAAAAAGAAAACCACAATCTTTGGGCATGTTTGTTTAATGAACTTTTCATACATATAACATTGATGATTTCAGTCATTTGTCTGAGCTTAAGCATATTTGAAATTCTACACTATGCTTGTGTAAAAATATTGTTGTCCTCCTATGACAACAAAATTACTACCCCCAAATTTGTGGCAGTTTATTCATTCATAAAAAATAAAGATAAGTTTAACTGGTAATGCCACCATCTTATTTGTTTAACTAGTAGCACATATTCACATTTATTATTATTATTATTATTTTTTTGTCAAACAATAGATTTTGTTAGATTAGTCACCGACGAGATTTGAACTCACGCCGTCATGCAAAGGCCCAACACATTTCCACCACTGTGGTAAATGGCCACTTGCACATATTCACATTTATTAATTGGGGTTCTTAATTTTTCTAAAAAAAATTGATTAACGGATAAAACTCCCTTTGATATAAGGAAAACTAATGAAAAATTGTTTGAAAACTTTGAGTGACTTTTTAGAGTAAAAATGTCATTTTCGCTAAAAGTGAATAGTACCAGAAGTGTTTCGTTAAAACCCAATTTGATATAACAATTTGCTAAATAAAAAAAATATGTAAGAACATATATTAAAGTGTATTTACATCCGAAAGCAAGATGCATGTATGAAGACGAATCCATTTATGGACATAGTGATGGTAGTAAACCAATTCATTGCCAAATCATAGCAGTGCTGTCCCTTAAAAATTTAGTGATAAGGTTTTTATATATGATTTCTAAGATTGGTATAACTCTTCACTTGGTCTATGACAATAAAAATCAACATAAATGGTCCAAAAATTTATCTACCGCAAGTCATTTTGGTTTTCATTAAAATCAGTCAATATTATGTGAAGATGATCACTAATACCATACGAAGATAAGACCGCCGCACTCAAAAATTTCTTAATACGGTTCATCCAACCGTTATATTTGCATTGAAGTCAACCCAAATGTAGAGTCCGGTCGCTATGGTCTCAAAACTACAAGATCTAGACCAACATGTCTCTAAGCATACTTCCATACATCAGTGTTACAGGCCCAATCCTAGCCATAATCTCTAGACGTTGTCGTTTTGTTCACCTGCTAGTCATCATGTTATGTGTACTAATAGCACACCATGAGGCACAATTCCGGTCGCCGGACAATGATGTTAGACATGTGAGTTCTTGTTCAAACTCCTTCTTTGGGTTATTATTGTTGTGAGTTTGGTCTATCGGCCAAGGCACTGTTGTCGTCTTATTGCATTCGAGTTCAAGTCTCCCTCGTTGTTAATTAAATAATTTCTTTTAACAAAAAATTAGGTAAGTTATTTTTGCATGATCAATTAGTCTAGTGAATTTATAATTAATTTACTGTAAATCCCTTATCCAAACATAGTTTAATATTTTTTTAAAGTACAAGCGATATTCTACACTAATTTACCTTAATATGAGAGAATATGATATAATGCACAATGAATTGAAGAAAAATGCCTTAACCACCGCGCAATTCACCATTTTCAATACGTCCTCGTATTTTATAATCAATTGATTGTAATTAACTTCTTATTTTACATTCTCTAACTCATTTGGTGATCAAGAAATTCATAATTCTATTATTTATTCTCTAATCTCACTATTGCTATGTTCTTTGAAGGTAAATACACGTAGGCAATGACAAAGTTTGCTGATTATTTATATAAAAAGATTATCCTTTACATATTTAATTTTCATGATTGATTTTCGTGCTCCAACAACATTGACAGTTACCGAACAAATGAACAGAGTTAGCCACGAAGGCAAGAAAAGTTTACATCTTCTCAGGTGAAGAAAAGCCACCCAAATAATACTATAACATTTTTAAGTCAAATGTATTGGATGGGGACACGTCGGAATAAGATCATATCCGAATCCTCTCAACATTGAAAATCACTTTATCATGTCCGTTTATTTGTCATCTTGTGGTTATCAATTATTTTGAATTATTTTATTTAAAATTAAATACAAATAGTACTTCACGAAAATTGATTGCATAATATACAATGAACAAATACGATGAAATGATTTTCAGAATCCTCACAAACAAGATCCGAAGAGAACCTTATCCAGCCACATCCACTACTTTTTGTTTTGTGGATGATTCAAGAACATGATGAGTCCCTCAAGTGCCTCAATCATAACCATAAGATTAATTTTGGGAACCTCAGCCATACAAATTCCAAGTTAGTGGAAAAACCTACCCATTAAATTCCCCCTCTTACAATCATATGATAATGATGATGATAAGTCAATGTAAAAGATAAGAATGCTAAGAACAGTCGTTTATGTGATAAGTAAGCAACTTCACTAATGAAACTAATGAAAGGGGTGTTTCACTTTGTTATGTCTTTCGACTAACCAATGCCCCTTTTAAGACTACGAGCTATTCTAGTGCATGTTACTCGTGAGTGATTGCCCACTATTAATTCCATTATAGACAGATATTGACTCAAGGGTTGACTATAGTGGACTAGTAAGGACAATCACGGACTCACAGTGTACTCCAGCCCACTCCAAATTATCAAAATGTCGTACTAAATTGTTGAATCATCTCAAATTTCTCAAATTTAGTGACCAAGTATGTGTCTGATTGTGTTTCCATATCTAATCAAACTGATAAAAGATTTTCCAAATTTCATATGGAGTGAACGATTGTTTCTAGCATGATCCATACCACCTTGTAAATTATACAAACCAATAATCACATCAAATAATAATACATCTTGTGGCAATTTAATCGATCTTGCTCTTTCCCCTTGTTTTTCCAAAACGTTTAAGTGTAAAGTTGAAGAAAATATCTTGGATAGGGGTGGTCTTTTTTGCTCCAAGTCCCAACAGATCAGCACATCAATGATATGTTTTTTCCAATCCCCAATTGATCAAACGTTTTCACATGGGCAAAGAGCCAAATGCTGGCCAAAAACTCAAATCGAATTTAATAGCCCCTCGCATATGCTTAGTTTGGGCACAGGATAATCTCATCCTTCGAGCGATTGTTCCCTATTTCTCAACACCCCAGCATGCATGCCTCACCAGCTCATCCAGGGGTCCTCCTGTAAATTTGACAAAGGCCAGATTTTGTAAATTTTTTTTTTGTCCGAACTGCCAACCCCACTTAGTGGGAAAAGGCTTTGTTGTTGTTGTTGTCCGAACTGCCAACCGCCGGAAATCTTCTGGGCCACCACCGTCACCGGTCTTTTTCCTTGCTGGTAGGGTCGGTCTCACGGAAGTCAGGGTCCCAGGAATGGGGGAGGTCTTGAATGTACCTTCTTGGAAGCTAGGGTTTTTATTTTTCAATTCAACCCATGAAGGATGAGTTGCAAAGAAGCTAGGAGAGGCATGTGATGGTGCTGAATCAGCTGGTGATGATAAGATCATAGTTGGAACTGGAGAATTAAGAATAAAAAAATTTCGGTGTAACTGTCACACGGCCCTGGTGTTACCCATCACTCAGGTTATAGCGCGTGTCACGTCGTCCACACTTATCATAATTAAACCATATGGTTGTGTGTAACTCTGAACATTTTCCACCAAGAACAGAGGTCTCCATAAAGTCATAAGACCATGGACGATCAAAGCTCCAATAAACGATGGCCGAAACTATAACGATCCATACGACAAAAGATTTGGTGTAGCCAAATTAATAATTTTACGCAGCAACTTCTGAAAATAACCAAAGCTATCCACATATAAAACTTTACCACCGTTCAGTAAATACTAAATACCCTGCATCATCACTTTAATCCGCAACTGTTTTTACCTAAACAGTAACTAAAGCATAATTAAGCATCTATTCACTATTTGGAACGCATAATTAGGGGTCTTCTATTCAGATAGAATCTGTGGGAAAGGAATTGGAAGCAGAATCAACAACCTATTAAGTATTAAGTAAGAATTAAGCATCTACCTGGATTTTGGGAGCAGGGGAATATTCATAAGCTCTGAGTCAGAAGATTAGGTCAAGATGCTCCATCCTATTGATAAAGTCAAGACTTACAGTACCCAGATCACATCGAAAGTCAGATTCCGAATAATTTTTACTATATTAGCAACAATGAAGTGAGCATAAGATTCTAGATTCCCTTTGAATGGAAACAAATTCTATTACAAGTGGTACAAAGGACACACGTACGGAGATATCATGAACAATGGATTGGAGGTGATATACAAAGTACAAGTTTTTCGTTTCTCCTATATGCCGGCTGAATTGTACACCTCATTTTGACTCAAAGATAACAGCAATACAGATGGATGAAAAGAAAAAATTGTAACAATAACAAACAAAAAGCAGATATACAATTTGGTATGGGATGGTCAATGGAACAATTTAGAAACCCACCATATTAGTTGACGTTGATTCGTAGTCTCTTCTCTCATCCAGCATGCTAACAAATGGTACTCCTGTTAAAAAGAAATAAAAAAGGTGTGATTTTGACACAACTTTTTATCCCAGCCCCACGTTACTATTGTCGGTCTTTGTTAGGACTTTTAGGGTGTGTTTGTTTACCTTCACTAGGTTTCATTGGACTAGACTAGATTAGAAATTAGGACAATCCTATGTTTGTTACACAAGCGGACTAGCTTTAGTGGGATTACCCTTCACTCGCCTCGACTAAGGGGCTCGCTAGATCGTCTTAGCGAGACCCCTCGAATTCTAGCGGACTAGTAAGACCGTCATCTCTCTCGTCATCCCGCTTTGCTCCATAGCCTTGCCGGACCATTCCTCGACCAACACCGCATCCGCATAAGCCTCTCAGAGCTTCCTCTTCCACTTCATCTTCTTCATTTTCTTCGATTTTGTTTTGAAGATTCGTGAAATTATTAGTGGGTTTTGAACGATTTCTGGTTTTGATCGATTTCTGGGTTTAATCGATTATGGGTTTTGATTTACTTCTGGGATTTCTGCATTCTGATTTATTTCTTGGATTTCTGGGTTTTGATTGATTTTTGGGTTTTAATTTGATCCACAAATCAGTCATATTGTTTTAGGAGAATGTTTGATCCTGCAGAGAACAATCGTCTTCCTCTGAGAAAATCGTTCCATGCATGTCCTTCGAGAGGCCCTGTTGTTTTTCCCAGCATCAACCTCGTCGATTATGCCTATCAATTCGAGTAAGTTTGCTTCTTAATCTGTATGTTTTTTCTGTCATGTTTATTTTGTGTTTAGTTGCACAGAAAGTTATGGAAATTAAATGGTGGAATGAACTAATAATGTTGATAAATTTTCTGTAGAAATAGAAAATATGTGTCTTTGTACATGCAGTATGCAGAATTGGGATTTCAACCAAAACTCATGCGTGGATCGTGTAAGAAGTGTAGAGGGATGGAAATACTTAACAAGTTTATGGGAAATCTGAGTTGCTACAGCAGAGCTCTTGTATTACTTCTTATTGTAACTCTCTTGATACAAAATGATATGCCAAAGGCTATATATGTAGTGAATACAAAGTACTAGAGAGTTCTTCCTAGGTAACTTAACAGACATAGGCTAGGAACAATGAATCTAGAATAATTGTTCTTGGAAATGTCTAGAGTCTTAACATTTAGGATAGTGCATGAATTGTTCTTGGGAATGTCTAGAGTCTTAACATTAGTGCATTAATTCCAACAGATCAATATCATTCTTCAACTTCAATCGTGTTTCCTTATCATCAAATCTTAATTTGGATACAAATTGGTAATCTTTTATCTTGTCGATTACAACTGGATCAATATCCTTTGTTTGATACTCGTCATCATATCAAAATGCATCCTTATGAGTTTGCACAAGATTAGAATTCAGTTTATTTTTTGTGTTGTGTGGATCTTTAGAAGCTCGGGCTTCCTGGCGTCCTTTGTGCCCTGCATTATTGTGAAAGGAGAGTGCAAGAAGCAGCCAGCTGTTGAATAGAGGGAGAGCTTGAGATTTGAAACAACTATTTTACTACCCTAGTTGTAACTTCTCTCTCTCTCTTCACTTGCTCTCTTAAAGACTCTCTCATGCTCCTTTTAAAATGTAACCTACATTATTAGAGTAAAAACCACAGAAACTACTAAGCATGGAAGTAGGCCACAGCTTGCACATATGGAAGGTTCGTACAGTGCTCTGGACTTATTACTGTCATTAATGAAAGAAAGAAATTATGGATGCTTTATTGGGATCAGAGTCCATAATATCAGCTCCAGTGTATAAGGTGTGCTATTCTCCTTCTCTTTTTCATTGAACAATCTAAGCACATCCGTATTTTTTTTCATTTTTCAGGTTTTCTCCGTTTCATATTCACCGTGAACTTATTAGTCATTATGCCTTGATGATAACGATGTCGTAAGAGTCATTTGTGTTGCAAAACAAGGTTTGCTCTGTTGCTTCTAACATAGTTGATTATTCTGTTAGAGATTAAAGATGGTAACGTTTGGGGGTTTCCTTGTAGATTTACATTTATGCTGCCATTTCTTGTCTACTAATTTTTACACCTGTGGCTTATTTTTGTTTTCTTTTACATTTTCCTTGTTCTGTTACGTCTTGCCTAGCCAATATAATAATTATTTTGTCTTTGTTGTGTAACATTCTCCAGTCACAATCTCTATATGTCAAGAATCTGAGCTTTACGACATCAGACGAGAGTTTGAAAAAGCATTTTAGTGGACACGTGAAGGGGGGAAAACTATTAAGTGTTAAGGTAATAATCAGCTGCCTAGAAGCGCTACTTTTACTTGATATATTTTCTTGTCTATATCCTCTTTGCTCTATATGCAGGTAAAGAAACACTTGAAGAATGGGAAGAATGTTTCAATGGGTTTTGGTTTTCTGGAGTTCGATTCTGTGGAGACAGCCACAAATGTTTGCCGGGATTTACAGGTGAAGCCAGAATCTGGTGAAAATTACTGCATATTCAGTATACAATTGTGGAAATTCATTGCAATTAATATTTACCATTTTCTAGGGAACTATTTTGGACGGGCATGCTCTTATTTTGCAACTTTGTCATGCCAAGAAAGATGAAGTGCCTAAAAAGGTTGACAATGATAAAAGCTCGACAAAACTACTTGTGAAAAATGTAGCTTTTGAGGCCACAGAGAAAGAACTGAGGCAGCTATTTAGTCCATTTGGCCAGGTGAATTACTAAACTTTGATGAGTTACTACCTACCAGATTCCGGATCCTCTAATATTTTTCATGCAGATTTTGTACTTATGATTTAAAGTATGCAATTTCACACCTTGTTTGATTATTTTTCTACTACATTCTTAAACAGTGAATTTTAGACAAAATGTTATGCCGTGAACCCCAAGGCGACGTTGTTTTAGCCATCACCGTGTTATCCCGTGAAAAGTTTCAAGGCGACGTTATTTTTCTAATATATACACTGTTGCCCTCCCTCACCAGTGTAAAGTAATCTCATTCTATGATAGGTGGTCTATACCATTCATCAAGCTTTCGCGACTTGAAACTTTTCACTCGAGCTTTGGCGACTGGAAGCTTTGGTCTATACCATTCACTTCCTTTGTCCGATTAGATGCTCATTAATTATTATTTTTTTGCTGTTTTAGGTACCATCTATATCGAGATGAGGATATACTGGGAACACTGCACGACTGATGTATTGTTTGACCTATGATCGTGTTAATTTTGTTCATGATTTATCCTAGTGGATTTAAGTTCCGTAGCATGGAGTCGATCTTTGTCAATGCCCCACTGTTTAAATTTGTTATGTGCTTATATATTAGATGAAGGAGAACATGTAAAACTGTTCTGCTATTGGGCAAATAATTTGAATGCAACTAAGACGTCTTTAATATGTATAAAGTTTATCTGAATCCCTACCGAATGTCTGCTCCAGTTATACAATGTTTATTCTTCGCTTATTTTTGAATTCGCTATGTCAGCGAGGACTAGAGATGCTTGCAGACCGGTGGTCGCGGCTGCTTGCTTTCTAAGGTAAGGGTTTGTCAATTCGCTCGGTCACCGAGTGCTTCTGGCTGTGGCTCTCTTCGGGTTTTGACAATGGAGCTTCAAGAGCTGCTACTGTTATGGTAGCGTTACATAAAATCACAGTAGTGGTGCTTTGAACCAGATTTTGTTATGTTTTTAGTCCCAATCTTCTGCCGATTGCTCACCAGATTTTGTTATGTTTTTAGTCCCAATCTTCTGGTGACAGTACTGTTTTAATTATCCTACTTCTTAGTCCGACACTGCAACAAACACTTCACTAAGTTAGTCCAGCTTAGTCTAGTCTAAGCCAGTCCAGCTTAGTCCTTGAAGCTAGTCCAGTCCGAGACAGTCCGGTGCAACAAACACACCCTTATATTAGTCGGAAAAAGCTAAAACGATTCCTTTCGGACAAGAGAGTGTGATAAAATAAGAGAGAGTGTGTCCTTTGCTCATTCATGTTAATTTTAACCATTATATTTTTTTCCAATTGTTCAATCTAAATACAACAAAACAAGAGAGTGTGATAAAATAAGAAATGATGTATGAAAACAATTTTCCTTTTTTTTTTTTTCAGTGCTGAGGAAAAAGACAAGAGAAGTAATGAAATACAATTGCATATAAAGAAAAAAGGGACCCCATTTCAACTACGATCTGCAAATTATAATTAGTGTTTGAGAGAGAGAATGATACGACACCAAAAAATAGTACTAATTATAAATCAAATCAAGTAGTAAATATAAAGGCTTAATTACCAAAATGTCCTCGGAACTAGCACGAAAGTATCACTTTATCCCTCGTCGTCTTTGCACTTGTATCAATCACAGTACCCCTATCCTATCAACTTCGTTTGTTGACTATTACCTTTTGCTCCAGGATATCAACATGATAGGAAGAGGATACTTTCATCCCTCGTCGTCTTTGCACTTGTATCAATCACAGTACCCCTATCCTATCAACTTCGTTTGTTGACTATTACCTTTTGCTCCAGGATATCAACATGATAGGAAGAGGATCATCTCGCGATCCTCTTTGTGCGAGTTCGATACATTTATTTTTCATCGTGCGGTTAATTTTTTAAGAATTGAATTTATTTTGGATCTTAGTGTTCGGAGTCTATGAATCATTTAATCTGGACCGCTGATTGGTGTGCAAGTTAAATCAAGGGCATTGGTCGTGTGTCATGGGCTAGAAAAATGAATTAATGGAGACTGTTGCATTTAATTTGTACGGCCCAAATTAAAGGATCCATAGGTTTCAAATACTAATTGACAATATACGGATGATTAATTGACAATACATCAAGTATTATATACTCAAAAGTTAAAATGCACAGCAACATGACAATTGACTTTCAAAATTGTAACAAAAATATTACGTATTGTAACAAAAAAAATACAAGAGAAAAGCAGAGGAATATGCAGTGCATCGAAAAAAGGATGGAGGTGCAGATTTATTTATTTATTTTTTTAACAAAACGATAACGTCAGTGAGTAAATGTTAGGAAAATTCTGGTTTCACCAACAATAGGTGATTTTTGAGTCACCAAAGTCTAATAATGCATTTTGTTCTTGACCACACCCCCACATTATTTATATCCGGTTTGTGTCGTTTTGAACCATATAAATAATGTCGCACACCTGAAGAAAGGTGAGTCATTTAAGGTGATTTTTTCTTTGACAAATGAGAAAATAATTTATACTAAAGCCAAATAAACTTAGGAAGTGTTTGTTTGCCTTCATTAGGTTTCACTATACTAGACTAGATTAAATGTGATTGTAGTCTGTTGTTTGTTTCCTGACCGGACTAGTTTTAATGGGATTAATCCAGACTCGCCTTCACTAGCGAACCGACTAGCCGGTCTTAGCTTGTCCCACCCAAAACCATGGGACTGGCTAAGAACTTCTTCTTCCTGCTCAGATCACCTCATCAACCTCGATTTCGAAGGCACAAGCTTCGGGCGCGGCTTCATCTCCGACGACGAACTCGTCGTCGCTTCATCTTCGACGATGACCTCGTCGGCTGGGTCATCTCCGTCGTCTTCTTCTCCTTCGCTACTTCGCAATCCACCAATGGAACGTGTTGAAACGGGCGAGTCAGGGGATGGAGTCAGCGACGCCAACACTGGGTCATCGACATGAGCAATCGAGAGGGATTCGGGTGAAGGTTATGAACGGGAACCTGGAGTGGGCGCTGACGGTTATGCAGAGGAAGATGACGTCGAGTGGGATCGAGCGGATGATAAAGCGGCAGCAAACCCACCACCTCAAGAGCTCTGAGAAGCGCATCTTGGCCCGCAAGAATGTCGAACAGAAACTCCGATCTCAAGACCTCGCTCGCAAGCTCAAGGCCGTCCTCCTCAAGAAAGTCAGGTACTCATTTCACAATCTCAAACAACAAATCGCAAAATTATGGATTATACAAGTAGATGATTAAGAATGTGTTTAGTGCATATGGGTTTTGTACCAAGTGACGAGTAATGGAAGATTTTGTTGTGTTTAAGCTCTTCCCAGCTTGTAGCTTGTATTGCAGTTCAACTGTTTGAGGTTTTGCCTGAAAGAAAAAAACGAAAAAGAAAAACAGAGAGAAAGAACCCTAGAAAAAGAAAAAAAGAAAAGAAAAAGAAAAATAGATAGAGTTCCAGAAAATAGAAAGAAAAAGAATAAAAAAGAAAAAGATTTATTATTATTTTTTTTATTATTCTCTTTTTTAGTTCGATATAATACCAAACACTTCACTAAATCAGTCCAGCTTAGTCTAGTCTAAGCCAGTTCAACTTAATTTTTAAAGCTAATTCAGTCCAAAATAGTTTGGTTTAATAAATGCACCCTTAAGAGCCTGAGTATGCAGTGTAAGTCCCCTTAGACCCTCTCCAACTATGGGCTAAATGTCAAATTTCCCCTATTCCCCCCCCCCAAAACCCAACCCAAGCCGAATCTTTGGGCTAAAAACTAAAAGCCAAACCCAAGCCAAATTCCCCCCAAAATTCAGCCCAAGATTCGGTGTGGGCCTCATCGAAACGAGTGAAATCCAACGTCTGTGCGCCAATCCCCCCCCACCCCACCCACTAGCCTGAACGTGTGACCCTTCAGACAGACAAGGCCCCACCCACGTGGGCTTGTAGGCCACCTTTCCCAAGCGCCCCAACTACTACTTTGATCCGACGATCGTGATCAATAGGTCGTTGGTTGATCCAACGACCTAGATTCAAATTTATATTTTTTTTTGTTTTTATATTTATATATTTATTGAATTGAATGACTAAGATTAAATATAATCAAATCTAATGGTAAAAAAAAAAAGATCTAACGGTCCAAATTTAAATCCAACTACTAAAATAATTAAAAAAATTATTTAACTCAAAATTCATCCAAAAACTCTATAAATACCTATGTATTTGTTCAAACATCCACACAAAACTCAATTTTCTCCTACAATTCTTTCAATTTTTATTTCTACCATTTTTTCCCATTTCCAAATTTTATGTTTATACATCTCTATCATGATTTTCATATTCTTTCATAGTGTTTCATGAGTTTCATATGGATTTAGTGATTTTTCAATATTTATCGGAATTTAAATATTTTTAGATTAAAATGTTCATAAAATTAATTTATGATAGTCTACATATTTATTTTTTTTAAATTTAATTTAAGAACAAAATTAGCCTAAGTTCATTTTTTAATAATCCCGAGTTAAAATTTTAAGCCAGAATGATAATTTTTCGGGCTAAAAAATTTGGCTTTTATCTCAAGAGTTGGAGATTGTCCCCATTCCCCACGTTACAATTATCAGTCTATGTCAGGGTCCCAATTCCCTATCGCATCCCTTCACACTACCCTCGGATGGGAATTAGCCAAAACGTTGTTGGATGTTAGGAGGTATATTAGAACCACTTCGGAATTTCATTGTTTTGGAAGAACAATTTTCAATTCAGAACGCAGAAGAAGTTCTTGCAGTAATATATATATATATATTAAATAATTACAGTTATCAACAAAATTAATTTTCATTTCATCAGAAATGAACCTTATTCAACGAGTTATTTCCAACTTTGCCATCTCATCACCGCTTAGTCTACAGTAATTAGTCAGGTTCAGAATCCAAAGCACTCGTAGTTTTGGAATTTTATCCAATGATGTACATCAGCTAGGTATAAATTGAATTCTTGCATGTGAAGGAGACACAAAATTGAATTCTTTTTTGTGACGGAGAGTTCATGAAAAGTTCCGTTTTGAAAGAATTCCTTTAGAATTTCTCGTTTGTAAATGATTTTTCTAGATTGCATAAAGCGGGCGAAGGGTCAATGGGGTATAGCCGTATAGATGCTTGGAAATTTTGTAGTGGGAAATGAAATAAAATTGAAGCCTAACTTAGGCCATCTCCAACCGAAGGGTTTAGAAGGCCAGAGGGTCGAAAATAGCCCGAAAACCGTCTCCAACCGAGGGCTAGGCCAGAGGGCTTTGGAATCTGGGAGGGCCCCACAGAATCAGAGAGGGCTAGAAGGCTGGAGGGCTGCAGCCAGCCAGCCATCCCGGGGCTGGCTTTTTTATTTTTATTTTTTATGTTTTGTTATTCCTATCGGTTATAACCGACAGTAATACATTTATACTAAATAATAGCATGTATTCCTGTCGATTATAACCGACAGGATTTCTTAAGAAAAAATTCAAATGCAACAGCTAGCCGTTGCATTTGAATTTTTTTTTTTTACAGTTTTATTATTATTTTTTATATACAAAATTTTTCATATGACTTCTATTTTTTCCTATAACTTCTATTTCACAAAATTTGTTTCATATTTTTTAAAATTCCATTTTTTTCCTATAACTTCCTAAGCCATTATACAACATTAAATTAAATTAAGTCACATTAAACAATATGAAACAACATTAAATAACATTAACCAACATAAAAATTATACAACATGAAACTTAAATGGAGACGGTTTTTAAATGGGTTGAATTTAAGTTGTAGTTTTTAAATAATAAATTATGTTTGGCCCTATGACCCTTTAGCCCTCGGTTGGAGACGGTTTTTTGTGACATGGCTAAAACGAGCCCTCTGGCTCTCTTGCCCTCAGTTGGAAACGGAGGCAAATATGACCCTGTACTATTCATTAAAATATTAATATCTTAAAGAATCTTGGAGGGGCAGAGGGCTAAAACGAACCCTTTGGCCAGCCATCAGTTGGAGATGGCCTTAAAGAGGTCTGATGGTTGGACCTTGAAGCATAACCATTGCTCTCACTTGTGAGTTGGGATTTTTAATTGATTTTGTTTCTACTTTTGTTGAACTTTGTTGAGCACTCTTTGCAAGTTGGAGTGCCTTCGAAGCTAACATCTCAACACTGCGAAATTGCATCTAAAAATTATTGAGAAAAAATGTTTTCAGATAACTAAGAATATCCTTTTCTTAATAATTTGTAAGTGCTTTAGATTATCAAGAACGTTTACTTCATGATAGTTTATAAGTGCTTTAGATTTTGAAAATGACGCTTGTACATAATCATTAACCTCCTAACCTAAATATCGAATCGGTCACTTGGGCTGCTTCTAAAACTATCAGAAAAATGTTTTCAGATAACTAAGAACGTTCACTTTCGATTACTTACCTAACCAAAATATCACATTGGTCAAATAAAAAATCTTAAAAAGCAACTTATATTCCTAGTCTCCATAGAATCTCTGCCACTTCATACTTTTAAAATAATGTTTTGTAATGTTAGCATAAAAATTAAAGTTAAACTATGAGGTGACAGAGATAGAGTGGAGAGATTTTTCAGTATACCTAGAGCACATGGTGATACACCACGTGTCACTAAACAAGTGAGATATTTGTGTTAACAAAAATTAAAAAAAAACTTAGACAAATAAAACTTCTCTCCACTTATCTAATAATATGTGGTATCCCACCTCTGTTCCAGGCACAATAATGAAAAATTTCTTCATGAACAAAAGAGCCTGAGCACCAACTCGTTCAATTGAGTTTATCCTGTGTGCTGCTTATGTGGTTATGCCAATTGATTAAGTTGATCTGCCGCTCAAGCCACTCTTGGTACATATATTAGTCAAACGCCTAATTGGCCAAACCCTATTATTCTCCCACATTCCCGAGAAATTTTTAGTTGTGACGACCACGTTTTTATGTAATTGGCTAAACCACATTCCCCTAACCACTCCTAAACTGCTGCCTAGTAACAACTTGACATCTCATCCGGCTTCAAACTTTCACTTTCGTATAAAACTTGCCATAAAATACGAGTCAGAAAGAAGGGCTGCCTTACATTTGTTAAAATCAGCATAAGCTTCGACGAACTCAATGTTATGCTCAGTGCACCATTCCAAACATGTGCCTCTGGCCTCCTATGATGACTCGTCATCCCCCAATAAACTGCTTCCTTCAGCCTCGGTGATTCCATACACAGTGAACCCTGGACCGTCATCAGCAAACGGGTCTCCAAGCTTCTGCAGTCGTCTTCTATATTCGGTATGAACCGGGTGACCCGGAACAAGATCAACCTTATTCCCTATGCACACTAGTATATCGAACTTTTGAAGATCAGTTCGAGATACCCATTTCTGAAGCGCAGACAGAGACGACAACTGCAGCATAATGCGGGCAAATTGATACAAGACACTTCGAAAATCATGCTAAATAAGTAAACAAAGTGACAAAGAGTGAGTGGCAAGAGACCGAAACCTCAGTTGTGTCGAAAACCAAGATCAAGGCAGCCAACTGGTCAAATATTGGGAGGGACTCAATCGAAAATTCGTCATGGAGATGAGCCATCCATACCGAAACGTCAGCTGTGTAGTACATTGTAGAGATATTCCACCTATTTTTTTAACACAAAAATCATCAAAATTCACGTTTCAAAAGAATTCAAAACGAATTCTTTGTTCCCAAAATTCCTAAAAGTTGTATTCTTTGTACCCAAAATTCCTAAAATTGAATTCTTTGATCCCAAAATTCAAAATTTACATACCCATTGACTACCGGCTGAGATGACGATGAAGAATGAGAAGCATCGCCAAAATCCAAACCCAGTAATCCAACAAATCAACAGATCATGCTTAGTATCGGTCAAAGGAGAGAGAGCTTACGCGTAATGAGAGAGCGGTTGCCGACGCCGGGGGAGTCGAGGAAGAAGATGCCGGGCCGCTTCTCCAGCGAGTCTCCGTCCTTTGATTGACTTTCCATTTCTCTGATTACTTTCGGAGAGAATGATAAAGTTTGGATCTTTTCAAATCTAAAACCCTAATTCCTCTAACTCAATTTAGTGAAGACGATGACTGACTTTTCTCAGCAGACTTTCCTATTGCTGGTGCTACACGCCAACTGGGCTCGGCTTAGGCTGCAGTTAAAAACAGTTCCTTTTTTAACTTATAAAAAAAAGAGTAAATTGTAGCTATGGTCCCTTAACTTTAACTCAATTGGAGCAATGGTCCCTCAACTAAAAATTCATTACCTTTGGTCCCTCAACTTATCAAAATGTGCAACTATGGTCCCTCAACTAAAAATCCATTACCATTGGTCCCTGAACTTTAATTCAAGTGGAGAAATGGTCCTTCAACTTTAACTCAATTGTAGCAATGGTCCTTCCAATATAACTCGTTTTGACAAAAATTTTGACATAGTTGACGAAAAAAACCATAATTATACACTTTGATGAGTTGAGGGACCCTAATTATATAAATGGTCATTCCAACATAGCTTATTTTGACAAAATTTTGACAAAATTGATGAAAATGACTATAGCTATAAATTTTGATAAGTTGAGGGACCAATGGTAATAGATTTTTAGTTGAGGGACCATTGCTCCAATTTGATTAAAGTTGAGGGACCATTCGTACAATTTACTCTAAAAATAATCTACGTTGCAAGAATGAAAATTCAAACTCAAGTACATATATATTGGTCGTTGTAAAATTAGTGAATTTCTCTTTTGTAAAAAAATTAGCGAGTCATATACTATTATTTGTCACGAGTTAAATAAGATCTTATAGGACAGTATGTAAATCAAATTAATGTTAGACACAAGATTTTTTAAATAAAATGTCACGCATGTGCAATTTGATTTTGATCAGTTTCATATCTAACAAAAAATTAAACCATACTTCAGTCAGAATTTGGTGATCTATATTGAGTTATTTGGTATATGATCACAATAATAAGAAAGAGTGTGTGCAACAATATATATCTGCTTAAAATTAAATAGATAGGAAAATATAAGTGTAGCCACCAAATACATTGACAAAAATCATTTGGAACTACAAGGGTGGTTAAGTAGACTGTTTTAAACTTCAATCAGTATTTGGGATTAGCTAAGGGATTTCTCAAATTTATAAGTGCAAATAGTAGAACAAAACATGTTACCTTATGAGTCTATGATTAGGAAGCATGGTATCAAATATACTTGTGCAGCATTAAGGGAGGGACAGTGATGATAGAAAATCACTTTCAAAAAAAGCAATCTAGTCATAAGCACTTCTCCAACTCAAGTCCTGTCCTCACAATCCCAGTCTAAAATAAAACCAAATTTCAAACCCTCTAAACAATCAAATCACTTTTCATTGAAATCCGCAGATGCATCAGCAGCAGCTGGGTTTACACCTGCAGCAAAGAACTCAGAGATGACTTCAAGAGGCATGCCCTTAGTTTCAGGCACCTTCAAGTAAACAAATATCCAAGAATCGATGCACCCGACAACATAGAAGGTTGACAAACAAGAAAGTTTCTGAAACATCAGGCTGACTAACCAGACCAGCATGAATGAGCTTCCTTTCTTGTCTTACACCAGAAATTGAAACAACCGACGCAGGCTGACACCAAAGTGCACTATCCTGATGCAAATACACTCTTTGAACTCCTCCTTCCTTCTTCCCGTCTTCGCCTGCTCGGTCAGAATATATATATGCCAGCTGCCAACCTCCACCAGTGTCCATACTACTACTGATAGCCTCGCTAGCTTGTACATTTCCTTTCATCAAGATTGTATTGCATCTCACACCTAAAGCAAAGAAAATAAACGGGCAAATCTAATGGACTCTGTCCCAGCAGCAACAGAGAAAACAAAGGACCCAAAAATGGCAAAAGGCAGGAAACAGAGTATTTATCCAAAACCAAAAATGTATCAAGACACAGTAGGCTGCAATTTTGACCCAAATTCCATCGCAGAATCTGCAAGGAATTAATATATAGGGACAGATACCTGTGAAATTATGGCCATGTTTTCTACATTTGTACTTTAGGATACAAATATGGTTTCTACTCACAGTCAAATGTACTTTAGGATACAAATGTGGTTTCTGTTTTTCTAATAATTAGCCAGTAGCTACCTACAGATATGAAATCGTTGTTTCTCCAGATTGAAAACTGTTTAAATTCTTGGGTAAATTACATGTTACCACCTTAACTTTGAGTCTTATAACAAAGTTATACTTTATCTTTTAAACATTGCAATGTCTTAAGTAAACTTACAAATTTGTTGAAATCTTAAACCTCCGTTAAAATATCCATCAATTTATTTGTTAATTTTAATTTAACTTAGAACAATTTATTTGTTAATTTTAATTTAACTTAGAACTAGAAATTCTTTAATTGTCAATATTAAATTAATTTTATAACCTAGTTAGGTAAGGGAGCGGACCTGTGTTTGCCACATCAGTATTTAACATAAAAATTAACAAAAATGTTGACGGATGTATGATATTGCAACGAATTTGTGAATTGATGTATAATATAGCAATATTTAAAAGATGATATATGAGATTGTTATGCAACCCAAAGTTGAGGAGGTAAAATGTAATTTATCCAAATTTTTTTATGTATTTAATTTAAATTAATTAATTTTATTATATTAATCTAAAAAGGTTTCACAAATTTACAATACAAAAAAAAAAAAAAATTATTTAGTTATACTAAAACTGAAATATACGTACCCAAACTCCTAATGAAGAAAAAATTGTGAATCATCTGAAGTGGATGGTTGCTCTTGTTCCTCCTCCTCAATATCAAAAGGAACATTAAGATCAATCCGCCGGGTTCGAAGATAAGGAAAGCCATTGTCGTTGCCGATCATATTCCTCGTGGACGGTATCTGAGGATCCAAGTGGACAAGGCCTCTTCCCAAGACTACTTGTTGGTCCCAAAGACAAGGAAGCCATTCGTCTTCTTTGCGCAATAGTGGGTGCACCCCGCAACTTTTAATGCGTGCGCCCCTGCGGAAAACAAATTCAACATTACAAATACCTCCCTGCTTCTTTTCTAAATCTACTAACTTGAGCTCCACATGAGCTGCCTCCAAGTTCGTACAAGGCCATACATAGTGTCTCCTGTAAGTACATAGTCTAGAGCCTTCTGTTCCGTTGATGATAACATAATAATTAAAATTCGATGGTTCAAAAACAGTAGATAGAACCAATCCTAATAACGTATCCCCCACTTGTAAATTTAGAGGAATTTTAAAACTACTAGTTCCAACAAAGTTTTCTCCCCTCCCTTCATATTTTATAGGAGCTGGAAAACTAATGCCTCCAATAAAGTCTTTTCTCCTCCAGTCATATTCAGCCGGTATACGTTGAATGGTTGTGGGATGGTTAGAGTTATAGTTGAACCACTTTGGAACTTCATTGCCTGGATAAATAACTTCCAATTTAGAGCGCCGAAGAGATCCCTGCAATAGTGAATAATATGTAGATAACTAATTACAAACAATTGTGATTTGATCTCCCTCCCAAGTAACAACAAATTATATATTTTAATTTCAAGAGTAATTAAGAAGAGAGACAAACCTCATTCAACAAACTATTTTCCAACTTTGCCACCCCATGGCCACATAGTCTAAAGCAATTTGACAGGTGCAGAACATGAAGCTCCGGGGGCAGTTTTGAAATTTTCTCCAATGATGTGCAATCATCCAGATATAACTCGTATAGTTTTGGTGGAAGGGCTTGTGGAGTTTTCCGAAGCCTCTTGCAACCTCTCAAATTAAGTCTTTCCAAGTTGACAAATTTGCTAATGCAATCCGGAAGACTAACAAAATTATTTCTCGACAGATCAAGCCATGTTAATGTGGACCAGCAATCAAGAAGCACAAGAAAATCACTTTCTGATAAATTGCATCCTTCAAGATAAAGATAATATAGGTTGGGAAAAGCATATGTGCTACACTTGTCTTGTGAAGTCTCTAAGTCAGTTGAAAGCAGTTGAGATTCGGTACTGCTGGATGAAACTTCATCAAACTTCATCTTGTTCTTCCCAAATGTCACCAGTTTTGGGCATTCATTGAAATAAACCCCAGAGAGATGTTGCAACCCATAAAGATGATGTAATGATGTACCTATAAGATTCTCACATTCCATTGCTAACAATTCGGCAAGCCCAGTAAGATATGCAATTGATGAAGGCAATTCTCTTATGCCACTTTTTTGTATATCCAAATGCTTTAAAGATTCCATCTCATCCTCTATTTCTGGAAAACTCTCCAGCCTTGTGCAACCATGAAGATAAAGCCTTTTAAGGGATCTCAATCTAAGTCTTGGTGCAAACCTCGTAAGCCTAGAGCACCCCATAAGATTTAATGTAACAAGTTTATCGAGGAATCCAATAGAATCATCAATCTCAACCAAATTTGTGCAGCCATGAAGATCCAAATACTCTATATTTGGACTTCCGGATAAGTCGGGAATTTTTTCCAGAAATTTGCACCCGCGTAAATTCATATATTTAAGATTTTCCAAATTCTGTGAAACCAAAAAAAAACAAAAAAACAAAAAAAACAAAAGTCACAGACATTAAATAGAATAATTAATGATGAAAAAACTTTGGAAATTTTCTTTTCTTTTTTAAAATAAAATATACATTTAAATTAGGAATCATCCAAATTAATTTAAAAAAGTATACGTACCTTAAATCCCTTCAATTGTCTGATGTCACTGTATGACATATTATATGTGACAAGATGCCTTGTAACTGTATGATTTTGAAGAATATTGGATCCCCAAATTCGAAACTTATCACCTAAAAGCTCTTTCATCTCTTGAACGCAAGATTGTATTCCAACTAGGTATTTGGCCACATTCAAATGTGTACGTTGTAGTACTTTGACTAAGATCTCTGTAACAATCTTATCGATAAATGTAGCTTCATACCTACCAGTTTAATTAAAAAATTTGACACATTTAGTCAATCAATTTTTTTGCTATATATCTTTGAAAAGGAAAAAAGAATGTAAAAAAGAAGAGAGGATTACACGAAAGAGAAGTGCTAGCAACAACAGCTAGAACACTCACTTCCTCGTTCGCTAGCTTTGGTGAACGACAGAGCCTATAATCTATACTATTATTAAGAGAATCTATATTATTGTGGATAATATAAACAACTTTACCCTTACTTTCATAACTTGAGTTTATAAACAAGGTTTAGGAATTGTGGATATTCATGTCAAACAATCAAAATAACAATTGTGGATAATTGTTAAACAATTAAAAAAAGAAATAAAAGTCCAAAACTAATTATAACTTCCCCACTTCCACCTCCAAAGCAATTCTTCTCTTCACGGTAACTTCCGCACATCCCCCTCAACTCAATCCTCAACCCAAAACTTTACTCTTTCTCTATTTATGAAATAATTTCTATTGCAATTAGTTATTTTATGACATTTTTATTTTAATTAATTGTTACTCATTCACTGTTCTTAAAATCAGTAGAAGACAATTTGTGGATGAGAGTTGGGAAACTCTCATATTTTAGTCATGTGTAGATTCATCTTCGTGGCTTTTCTCAAGAAAAAAAAAAGTTAAGAGATTCAAATTTGGTTCTATAGTGTAAGTGACATATGAACGTCGTTGCACATGCTTTGCGTATGTGCCAATTGCTAGTTATATATGAAGATGATGATCATGTATGTTTAACATACAGAAGGGTCAACTTCTTCGTGTATAATTATTCAACAATTTTTCATATTTCTGTTCATCAAAAGATAAAAATGGGTATTCACTCCCTCCGCTTGCAACTAAACAGGTATTAGGAGTGAGTTCAAAAAGCCGAAAAAAAAAGATAAAAAAATAAAAACCGAACCAAGCACTAAACCATACCAAAAAAAAAAAATCTAACCAAATTAAAAACAAAACAAAACTGAACCGAATTAAATACTTATTAATTTTATTTATATAATATTATTTGAAGCCCCAATTTCAAGTCAACCATAACAATCTTAGGTCCAAAGCCAAACTTAACCCCAATTTCCCTACCGACCCTCTTTTATTTTGTTAAATAAAAATAAATAAATAAACCCAAAAGGTTGAATTAATGTAATTCAGTAAAGTGCAAACAAAGCCTATGGATTGGACTAATATGCAAACGAAGAAATTGCCTCAAAACATCGACGGTTTAGGGTGCATCTTCCTTCCTCGCCGCCAACCGCACCCATCAGACATCGGCGAGGCAGCGCCAATAGTCTTCCGGAGCCCCGCCATCTACAGACCTCGGATGCGACCCCAACTTCGTCCAACTCCACCGCCACATCCGTGAGAAGAATGTCTACGAGACCCAAGCGAAGCCACGTGAGGGCGAGGAGTGGCGGCCCTCGCCGGAAAACAGGACTGGATTTCTGTGTCCGCCCTCCCCTCGCCGGAAAACCCACTGGTTCAGTGGTTCAGAGCTTCCTATGGTCCGATGATGTGTGGGTGACTGTGCTTTTTTTTTTTTTTTTAAATCATTCAGGCCAAAACGACATCATTTTGGTTTTGGAAAAAAAAATTTAAATAGATAATTGAAACGACGCTGTTTCGTAGACACTACCTGATTTCGCACCTCCTCCTGCCAATTCCTGATTTCGCCATTGACGAGACCTTGTTCCAGACCCTCACCGATCGGCTCTTCCACAAAGGTTTTTGCTTTAGACCGTCAAATCCTTCCAATTTGGTTTGTGTTTTACAGTGAATTGGGTTTAGCGAATCTGTATGTATGGGTATTTGGATTTGTGTTTTTCCGTCAATTTTCAGAATTTGGATTGTGTTTTTCCTTCAGTTTTCAGATTTTTTAAATTTAAAAAAAAAAATCGAACTGAACCCGTCTAACCGGAAAAAACCAATCCGAATTCAATTCGAATCGAGAGAACCTAACCGAACTGAACAGTAATATCGGTTTGATTTCCAGTTTTGAGAAGGAAAAAAAAAAACGATTGAAACCGAACTCGCTCCTAATATTAGGTATTATTGTAGTAGAAAGTGAAACCTAAAATACAGAATCATATAATTAAAAGAGAAGAAAGGTACGTACTCTTCCTCTTTGACAGTATAACCTGACAAATTTGCTGCTTCTCTGAGAGCTCTCCTCCATAAGAGGATCTTCTCCTCGTCCTTGTATTTGCACTCAAGTCCTGTAAATGCATCACCGAAACTACTCGTTTGATTTCGTACATGGGATGGATCCACCTTGTAGAAAACTGGCCAAACTATTTGCTGCCTTGACCTTCTACATTCAAGGATATATACGAGTTCATCCAAGCACCATCTTGACGATGCATACTTTTCAGAGATTACAATGATTGAAATTCTCGACTCTTCAATTGCTTTTAGAAAAGCCGGTGATATCTCTTCTCCTCTTTTAAGATGGCGATCAATGAATGTGTCGATTCCGTTACGGTACAAGGCCGCGTATAAGTGATCTGTAAAAGTAAAGCGTGTATCTTCACCTCTAAAACTCAAAAATACATCATATGTCCATGAAGGAGGCAAGGAAGAAGAAGAGGCAAGTTGAATGCCCATAAGAGAATTAAAGACAAATGAACTAAAGAAAAGAGCCTCTCAAAGAATTGGAATATGCAGTATGGTATGGAGTGTGGACAATGGACTCTCTCTTGTTATATATATCAGGCCTTATGCATGCTTTTCTTCCTGTGAAGGAAGCAGCAGTTTCCTACCACCTTCAATGTGAATGTGGACTCTCTCTTGTTATATTAGTCCTCATGCTTTTCTTCCTACCGACCAAGCATTTCCCACCTACTACCTTTCAATGTAAATGTGGTCGAGTTGAAGGAGATTTTCTTCCTACCGACCAAGCATTTCCCACCTACTACCTTTCAATGTAAATGTGGTCGAGTTGAAGGAGATGAACTTTTGTGGCAATTAATTGACGAATGAAAAATATAAAATTGTTACTTAGCGGTCTTTAATTTGAAGAAGAGGAAGTTTTGTTGCAAACTACTACTGATTACCTTTAATGTAACAATTCACCATTATAATATTTTAAAATAATAACAGACAGCTGAAAAATCTAAAAATATTACAAATAAAGTGGCCATACCAAGAAAAGTATCTCTGATGATGTAGGTAAATTTCTCTCCACTGACAAGTGGGGGTCGTTAATTTAAGGAAGAACGTGTCTTTTTCCATCATGGAGTTTCTTTTTCCCTTGATCGATTGATCACTATAGTTTGTCTGTATTCAATTATTTGTTGATGTTGTAATCACCTGTGGCCTTTAGGAATGAAATGTTTGTTATTTACTTTATTTTATTAAAGATTTAAAACTTTATTTATTATTATTTTAAATAAAAAATATGAAGAGTCATATTCATTAGAGAAGTTATATCTTTTATTAAGGGATATGTAGAGTTTTATAAATAGCGAACTCCTCAAACAGAACAAAGTGGTCAATAATATGTTCATATTGTTTTCCTTCCCTCCGTAGTAGTACTCATATATAATTCTTATTATCTTTCTACTCATCTTGATCATCAATGGGCAATTGATCACTACTTGGCACCCGGTTTACCGTAATCGTGCTTACGGATTAAACACTCTGTGAGATTCAACGGTTGTATGTTGGAGTTGTAGATAGCCGTTCTAACCAACATGTAGGGAGGCGTCTCCGACTTTAGGACAGTGACAACACGCCTCTCTTGATATCACAGGCAAGATAATTCTTTACCTTTTCCTTTTTACTGCTTTATTTATTGATATATGTGTTTGATACATTTAGGTATTATCTAATTGATTGAATTTACATGTGTATTATGATGATCATAATCATTTATATTATCCTACATGAAATAATCATTCCGACCCATTTGCCCACTTTCAAATGTCTAATTTTTGTTTTGTATTTTTTTTCGATGGATTTAATTAATTAATTGCCAGCTAAGCTGAATAAATAAGCAACACATGTTTTACCTCTCTTTCATCCTTGTTATCTAGAGGAATTTCAAATGTCGTTCGATCTTTCCGGTACAGCCGAACCGTCTTGAAACTTTATTGCCTGGAGTTATAATTTGCAATCCAAAGCACTAACAAGCAATACTTTGTAGAATAAACATGGAGGTCCTAACGTTGAAGGTCCAAGTTTCCTATATAGAAATTGAACGGGAACCGCTCAATAAGAAAATTTAGTTTATTCACTACGGCATTTTTTGGAACACTTGGTGGACTTATTATCATCGCCCAAATCATATTGCACACATGTGAAGAGATTAATCCACACACGCAAATTTCAATATTTAATTATTCACGCACATCTTCATGTAGATGATTGAAGTTGTTCATGGTGGATTTGGTGGTGGTGGAGGAGGAAAACCAACAGAAAAAAGAAAGATGCACTGTAGTAAACGAAAACGGAAGAGGAAAGGGTGAAGGAGAGAGAGAGTTTAGTTTATTTTTTTTGTCAAACAATTAATTTGTTAGATTAAACTTACATTAGTTACTGACAAAATTCAAATGTATACCGTTATATAAAGATTCAACTCTTTTTTACTACTGTGGTAAATAATTACTTGTTAGAGTTATAATTTTTTATTTTTCAACATCCTCTTATTCTATTTTTTTTCACTGTTTTTCTTTGTGGGACCAATAATTACTTTCTTATGTTAATTCGCACTCGTCGCTTTTTGAGTGGGTCCTCGAAGCGTTTTCTAATTAATTTGTTCCAAAGTTTCACTCCTCATAATTTCGGTACAATATTATTGAGGATGCATAGTTTTTAGAGAATATAAATATATAATGATCGAAATTCTCTAACTCCTCAATTGCTTTGAGAAGAGCCAGAGATATTTCTTCTCCTCTTCTAAGATGGTGATCAATGAACGTGTTGATTCCCTTATTGTCCAACACCTTGTAAAAGTGATCTGTAAAATTGGTTCGTGTATCCTCTCCTCTGAAGCTCAAAAAGACATAGTACTTCCAAGGAGGAGGATTGCAAAAGGAAGAAGAAGAGACAAGTTGATTTTCATTGGAGAAATCCAGGTAAATTGAAGGGACAAGGATTGTCTGCCCTCCTTGTTCCGGTGCTCTCCTGTTTTGTGTGGTCACGGTTAAGCCACGTCAACATTTTATATTATTTTTTATAGAGATAATAAGACAAAAATGAATAGTAATATAAAATGTTGACGTGGCTTAATCGTGACCACACAAACACATGAGAGGGCACCGGAACAAGGAGGGCAGACAATCCTTGTCTAAATTGAAGAGCCTTTCAAAGAATTGAGTATGGATGCTGGACTGGTACTCGCACCAAGAATTCGCTTTTGTTATATATCAGGCCTTTTGCATGTTTTTTCTTCCTATGGTAGGAAGCAGTGGCTTCCTACCACCTTCAATGTGAATGTGATAAAGTTGAGAGCAATCTTCCTTGGAATTTGGAACTTCAATTTATCTAACGGAGATTTACCTTAGTGTTGCCGACACGCTTTCTTTCAACTCACGACACCAACAACAAAAGAACTTACATGCCACGAGTCCATTGCAAATGTATATCACACCAAACAAGACCTGACACGTTAAAATATTAGGGCGCGTTTACGTAATCATAATTAAAATAGAGGAATTAGATTGATGAGGAATTGAATTGAGGAAGAGTTAGAATCAGATTTATGTTGAAGCTGTTTACTTAAATGTTCTGGAATCGGAGTAAAAATGAAACGAAATTCATATAAGTTGTTTACCAATTCACCTGAATCGGAATGAAAATTAATATAATTACTAAAGTACCCTTAATCTAAATAATAGAAAATTTCATAACTTTTGAATACAATTTCACACACACACACACACATTTTATTAAAAGGAGAAATTAGGTTCACATCCTTTTTTTTGTTATTTCATTGATTAAAATCCTATTCATTTTCAATTTTTGATCAAGGTCCTTGGGTAATAACATCATTAATTATTTGAATAATAAAATATTTTTATTTTTAAAATATATTCCTTTTGTAACAGCCCGTCCTTAAATATTATAGTTTTTATAATTTTGAAAGTGTGAAATTACAAAAAATGCCCTTGAGGTGAAGGTGTTAACTTTCATTGACCAACGCGTAGTGAGACGTACTAAATATTCTTTTAGCGTATTCCTGAAGTATTCGACGATACGAACGCGTAAACGCAAACAGAAGTGAATTTGGAGTTACGGTTAAAGTTTTACGGAACTGTAAACCCGATAAATACTTTTGTTTTAGTTACTATACATTTTATTTTATACATTTATTTTTGTAATCTGTATATTTTTATGTTTTAGTTTTAAAAGTAGAAGAAGAAGTGGGGAACGGGAGAAAGAAAAAGAAAGAAGGGCTACTGCCCAATCGTGGAAGAGGAAGGAGAGAAATGAACAGCCAATGAGGAAGAGAGATGAAGAGGATGGCCAACCAGAGAAGGGGGAAAGGAGGGAAAGGAGGAAGAAGAAATGAAGGGGGAAAACCGGGTTTTCCCTTGACCTGTTCGACCCGACAAGCACCACGGCCAAATTCGGTCATTTTTTCCAGCAAATCAAAGCAAACCACCACCTAGAAACAACTTCCTGGCCTTCCCTCTTCCATTTCCATTCAAAATTAGAAGGAATTTGGTGGTAAATTGTTCAAAAACCAGAGGTGGGTGTCGTGAGACTTTTGCTAGAAATCCACCAATTGTGAAACGTTTTCTTTCAATTACCACCACCATTAGACTTCCCTAGAACCCAGGAACAAAGCCCAGCCAGTGGTGGAGGTGTCGGAGCTTGTATGGGGTCGAATTGAATCACACCCAAATCTAGGGTTTCCGACGGGTTTTAGCAAAATTGGAGTTTTTCTAGGCCAAATTGGACTTGGCCACAGGTATAAAGTTTACTCTACTCTTTGAGATCTTCAATTTTGTAATTTTTGAGAATTTTTAAAAATAGTTGAATTTTCCGCCGAGTTGTGGCGGCGCGTGGCCAGGGGGCCGCCAATGCTATTTTAAGGCTATGTTAAATGTCTTGAAGTCAGTTTTGATATTTGGATTACGTAGGTTGATCGTTGGAGCCTAAATTCTCTACGATACGTTAATAGGTATTTATGTGCATTGACGATCCGACCGTTGGATCGTCACCAAACTTTAATATGTTATAGTACGTAATATTTGAGCATCATAGGAACTTACAGATCGGAAATCCAACGTACAGATCTTTCCGAATTGGATTTGTAAATTCGTAAAATAAATGTTAACAGCCACTTGGTTTTGGGTCATTGGCGGAGATCCAACCGTTGGATCTTAATGAAATTTTAGTATGTTATTATAGAAACTCAATGTGTATCTTCGGAAGTTACGAATCAGAACTCTAAGTTGCGGATCTCTTGGATTGAGTTATGTAGGGTTGTGGGTCCCGCCGTTGATCTTTGACCGATGGTTGACTTTTGGTCAATGGATCTCAAATTATTTTAGAATGTCCTTAAGGATGTGCTTTATATGAATTATGTATTCTATTGATAAGAGTTCTGAGATGTGATTCGATAATTGTTATAAAAGCCAATCATTCAGGACACCTCGATGTATGTGTTAGTGAATCATAGCGTGGGCTCCAAGTGAGTGGATCTTTTCATTTTATCATATGTATATAATTGATAGTTCCACAAACGTTTCTAAAGTGATTTATACATATTACCCTACAAATAATTAGTGCGAACTACGAATGGCTTGATCCCTGTTTATGGTACGTAGGCAGTTTAACGAGACGTTAGATGCAGCCATATAATAAATGAGAATAAATAATTGAGGCAATAGCCTAGTTTTGGGG